ACGGTAGATCTTAAATCATGGGTGTGGCCGACGCTTGATTGTAAACTTGAATTATACTGAGATAGGAAGCGCTTTAATGTTGGCAAGCCGAGGATTATTGCGTATGAGTCGGTACTGTCTGTACATTCCGGTTTCATACCGGTGCAAATGTGCAGCATAATTCGTATGCGCGGTTTCAGTACATACTGGTTTCATATCGGCACAAATATGCCGCTTAATTCGAATGCGTCGGTACAAACCGGTTTCGTACCGGAGAAAATATGCCACCCAGAAACTTTAATTCGTATGCGTCGGTAACGTCGGTCAAAATACCGGTTGCACCATTGACTGCGCCTTTGAAAGATGCTGTAGACAAATCACGCTGTTTTGATGAGCGACTTGTACATGGCCGTTTGTCCAATTCATCAAATGTGCATACATGATTGGCTAAAAATGCGTCATCTCAAAATCTTTCGCTCATCAAAACAACGTGATTCGTCTGCAGTCGCCTCTACATACACAGGAACCTCAAAGCAAGATCTGGCGTCGTAACTTCATTGCTTCATTTGACTCTTGTCACCAAAGTCCAGCAACTAGCTCCAGCCACGCCATGACGACCGAAACCTCGACAACCATCAAGGTCCGACAGTATCGCCCAGAAGATCATGCTCAAGTCACCAAAATCTACGTGGAGGGTTTGATGGCGGCCGATCCTAATCCAGAGTATCGCTATCTATGGGAGGAGCTCCTTCGCAAGGACCTGACGAATGACCTAGCGGACATTGAAGGAAGTCACATGGCTTCGGGTGGAAACTTCTTGGTTGCAGTGGCGACAAAGGCTGGAATCAGCAAGGTCGTGGGTATTATCGGCCTGTTGCGAGTATCGGAGAAAGAAGGACAAATTCGACGCGTGTTTATGGATCCGAATTACCAGCGCATGAGTGTCGGCCGAAAAATGATCTCAGAACTTGAGATCTGGGCCAAGCAGAACGGGGTTAAGAGTGTATTTCTAACAACGAACGCCAACAACGAGAAGCCACAAGCATTTTACACGGCACTCGACTACACCAAGGTGGATGAAGAACAGTACGACTGGAAAGACCCTCTCTACTTCCGCGTCTTCAAATTTGTCAAGCAGTTGTAGTTTCGCTTTCATTTTTCCGAAGATACAACAACAACCAGCTTTTTTTTATAAGTACGTAGAACGGTTTTGTAATACATTTCCATGCAAATAGTCGTTTTTACATTTAGAGAACTCACCGTTTTTGGTTAGTTTCACTATGAACTCAACGTTAAAAACTCAAGTATTGTGTTGGCATAGCTCTTGCTCTGTAGATGGCGGTGTTTC